GGCAGAGGAAACCCCAGAAAGAACGCAGGTGTCCCTCCGCGCCGACTCACCGCCGCCCTCCCCCTCTCCCTCCCACAGCCCAGCTGCTGTATCAGGAGTACAGCGATGTATTCCTTAACAAGGAGATCCAGAGCCAACAGCGGCTGGACAGCCTGGGCGAGGGACCTGGGCAGGCGTCCCCGCGGCAGCCCCGCAGGGCCCTGGTGTCCTCCGAGTCCTACCTGAAGCGCCTGTCCTCCGCCTCCAGCGGCTCGCTGTGGCAGGAGATCCCCGTGGTGCGCAACAGCGCAGTGCTGCTCTCGATGACCCACGAGGACCAGAAGCTGCAGGAGGTGAGGCGCGCGCGGATGAGGCCACCAGCAGGCGGTGGCCCCATGCTCAAGCGGTCACCCGAGCACCACCTTCTCTGCTGTGGCTGAGGGTCAGCGCTGCCCTGCCCTGACAAGTGACATTAGTTTGTGAGGACAGAGCATCCTTGTCCCCAGTTGCTGTGGCCTCTCTGATGCTGACTCATGGCTGTGTCCATGGCCAGGGAGACCAGGGACTCCACGAGCTGTTCTTAAGCAGTGTTTTGGCTGTGGCTTGAGTGAGGGCTTACAGAGAGCATGGTTTTCCCTCCCATGTCATGGCTCATGCGCATTTCCATTGGTTCCATGGTTTGCCATGCCCACAATTCAAGGGCACTAGGTCAGCAGTTTGAAAGCACCAAGATGTGGCTTTCTAAACCCGAACGGGTGACAGCCTCGGAAGCCCATAGAGCCTGCTCTACTCTGTCCTGTAGAGTCCCTGTGAGTGGCCACCGACTCGATGCAGTGAGCTTGGTTTTGGTTTTTGGATTCAACCCTCCTGTCGTGAACAGTGGGGCAGCAGGCTGGTGGGGTCGCCTGGCACCATCTCGTTCTGTTGGTGCAGGGACATGTAGACTGATGTGTGCTTGTGGTCCTATAGCCCATCGGACTGATAGCTGCCGTGTTTGTCCTGAGTGTGCCGGACTAATGCACGTCTATCCATGGTCAGGCACCTTCCTCCAGACTTAGAGAGACCACTAGGTGCACCTCAGATGACTGCTCATGGGCTTTTAAGACAGCATGTAGAGCACTCTCTGTGGGCTGGGCTATGTCACTGCCCTTCCTGTGCCCAGAGACGATGTTCCTGCACCCCATGCCTGGTGGCTCCTTCCCTCTCTGTGTTTGGCCAAGGCTAAGGGGTTGTCCTACCTCCTCCCTGTGGCCCCGCTGTATTTATAGCAACCTCTATGTGGACTCCGCCTCTGTCCAACCATCCACTCCAGGGTGTTGCCCCACCTGAGCTCCCACACCTGCTCAGCTTGCGTGTCCACTTCTCCGCCTACAAACGATTGCTACTGCCACTGCTGCAGGGCGGTGCCTGTGACGGGGTGTAGTCTTGTTAACCTGACTCTTAGGCAGCAAGATTGTGGGACAGTTGTTCTGAGACACCTCTGGATAGACTTGAAACCCGACCACTGATCATGGCTGAGTGCTAACCCCCCGGGGGCTCCTTGTGCAGACTGCATATCTGGATGGAGAGTGTCAGCAGAGCCAAGCTCGTGCCCTGTTTCTTTCTGGGGGAGGACCCCTCCTTGCCGCCCCCCACAATTCTGGCTTCCCTCATCTCCTAGGTGCCTCTTTGCTATGTGTGTCTCAGTCAGAGGTGTGTCCCACTCCAGTGGACCTCAGTTATCCAGGGCATGTTCACAGGTACCAGGGTTAGGGGTCCCCATGTCTTAGGGGTGCTGTGTACTCCTCCCAGTTGGGAACTACACAGAGAGGCTGGGGCTGGGAATCTGCCAGAGGTGGGCCTCCTTGGCCCTCTCCCACCAGGCTCAGGCTCACCGTTTCCTCTCCAACTGAGGTACACCGGGGGCTGCCTGTGGGCACCCCTTTGCAGCTGCCCTGTGGTCTGTTGTTCTCCTGAGAACGCCTACCTGCCCCTGCCCCAGCTGTACTCCTAGCTGCAAGACTACCATGGGAGGCGTTTGTCTGGTTTTTGGCTCTGGCCCTAAGTGGGTTTGTGGGAGGACTTGTCTTTGTAATTGCCCTGAGGTATGGGGTAGGGCCTCCCCTCCCAAGAGGCCAGCATGGTCCCAGCGGCAGGCCTGCCTGAGACTTGTGTCACGGGTCCAGCTCCCACAGAAGTGCCCTGAGATTGAAGCATGACCCCATGTCTGCTGACCTGCAGCTGTGGCCATACCACGCCACCTTCCCAAGCCCCGGTCTTCATCCATAAAATGGGGGCGTAAGGGTCCCTGGGATGAGAGCCAGGGACATAGCAACTGCTCAAAAGACTATGTGCTATGTGTGCTTCAAAACGCCACCACCCATGTCCATTTGAAGTCGCCAGCCCTGGTGTGCTTCCCGGCTTCACCATTTAGTAGCTACGTCACCTCAAGTCAGTTATAAAACCGCATTACCCCTGCAGCAGCACCTCACCTACAAAGAGGAGGGGGGTGCTACCCTTCAGGTTTGTGCTGTCAGTGAAATAGCGCATCGTTCGTGTGTCAGTCACAAAACCCCACAAATGAGTGTCTTCAACAAGCAGTTTTTTCTCTCGCCATCAAGGAGGTCAGATGGCTGACCTCGGGGTGCCAGCTGGAGGGGGAAGGCTGTCATCTGGGTGTCAGCATGGGGGTGGGGTGGGTGGGAGAAGGGCCCTATCTCTTCTAAACTTGATGGTCGTCTGTGTACCTGGTGTCTTTCTGCCCCATCCCTGCTTCTCTCTCTCCTTGCTTTGTTTGATCTCATGTTTATCTCTGAAGAGATCAGCTCACACACACACTACACTCACCCAGCATCACCACAGAAGACAGCCCCTTCCCAAGTGAGTTTGTCACTTCAGGCATCAAAAAAAAAAACACTGCTGTCGAGTCCTCGTGCTTACAGGAAAGGTCGGCATTTGAAACCACTGACCCACCCTTCTATAAAGAGTGACCGTCTTGAAAACTCACAGGGGCAGGTTCTCCGCTGTCCTGTAGGGGCGCTGTGAGTTAGTATCGACTGGAGGGATGGCAGTGCATTTGGTTTTGAATTTATCAAGTCACGTATGACTCAGAGGGCCACTGTAGACAGGGGAGAGCTGCCCCTGTGAGTTTCCCAGACCGTAGCTCTTTAGAGGAATGGGAAACCCCATCTTTCTCTAATGGGGCAGGTGGTGGTTTCAAACTACTGACCTTGGAGTTAGTAGCTCAATGTGTAACCTGCTGAACCACCAGGCATTTACAACATACATTTTAGGAGAAGGCAGTTTAATCCATAACATTACCCTCCCACCCCACCCCCTTCCCCAGATTTACATCTTGCCATCTGCACAACCCATTCAGCCCACCACATCATCCCAGAAGCTCTAAGTCAACCACAAGTACAAATTCCATCCTGGGACACATTTCCTCTTCACGTGTGAACCTAGGACACAAGTTGTGCTGTTTTGGTGCACAGTGGTGAACTGGCTCCAGGTAGCCCTCCCTCCCCACCCCCCCAACATGGGCAGAGTTAGAGGCAAAGGAGGGGTGATGGGCACCGGCGGGCAGAACCAGCAGGGGCAGCAGCTCCGTGGTGATGGCATCTTCCCTGTGCTTGGGGTGGCCCTCTCACCTGGAGCCGCTACACTGTCCCAGGCCTCGCTTGCTGCTCTAACCCTTTCCCTGCTCAGAAGTGCCAGAGTGACAAAACCCAGCCTGCCCCCCTAGTGATCTTCCTGTTGCCTTGCGCGTCATTCCTCCGTCCCCATGCCAACAGGGGTCCATCTGCCTCTGCAGTTTCCAGGCACTGGTCAGAGTCCTCCTTGCTGTTTTTAAGCATCCCTTCTGCACCCAGGGGATGGGCATCCCCTCTCCTGCACCCCGAGATGGGCACTTGCTCTCCAGAGCTCCAGGGGAGCTGCCCCCATGTGGCTGAGCTGCAGAGGGCCCACGGCCCTCTCCCCTGGACGTTGCACCACACCTAGTGTGTCCCCAAGGCTCGGCAGAGCCTTCAGCCGCTGCAACCCCCCTCTCCCTCTTAGGCCAAGTTCGAGCTGATTGTCTCAGAGGCCTCTTACCTGCGCAGCCTGCACGTGGCTGTGGACCACTTCCAGCTGTCCACTGCGCTCCGGGGCACCCTGAGCAACCAGGAGCACCAGTGGCTCTTCTCCCGCCTGCAGGACGTGTGTGACGTCAGCACCACGTGAGCCGCCAGGCCCCATCCCTGGGGCTGCTGGGGGTGTGGCGGGGGCTTTGAAAAGGAGGCATTCTTTCTCCCTCCTGGAGCCTTCCAGGGCCAAGCGAGGCCACACGCTCTCTCTGTCTCTATGGGGACAGCGCCTGCCTCAACTTCTCTGTCCCCATGACCCTCAGTTCCTTCAGGGTCAACCTCACGTGTCCCTCTCCCCCACGGGGCCGGCCTCTCTGTGTGCAATCTGCTTTTATGTCTCAAAAGTCACGCTGTTAAGGACATGCCCCGTATGACGTGGCCGCCCTGACCTAAGAAGCCCTGTTCTCCAGCGGGGTCATCGCCCTTTCTCTGGGGACGCGAGTCAGCCCCCAGCACCCCAGCGTTGACTGCGGCAAGCACACGCCCCCTTATGCAGATGGGGGGCTGAGGGGAAGCCAGGGCAGGTGCGGGTGGGCAAGGCCATGGGTGTCCACCGCTTCGCGGGGTGGTGTGGGCAATGTGTGGAGGTCCGGACACCGGACGAGGCCAAGGGCTCTGGGTGATGACCGCAGCGAGGCAGAGCCAGGCGTGGGGACTCTGTGGCCAGTTCGCAGCCCAGCACTAGGGTGCGAGCAGCCCACCAGCCTAGCCTCGGGGTCCTGAGAGCTCGGGCCCCCTTTCAGCTTCCTCTCGGACCTGGAGGAGAACTTCGAGAACAACATCTTCACCTTCCACGTGTGTGACGTGGTCCTAAGCCACGCCCCCCACTTCCGCCGTGTCTACCTGCCCTATGTCACCAACCAGACATACCAGGAGCGAACCTTCCAGAGTCTGCTGTGAGTGCACCTCTCCCTGCACCCAGCATCCCCCTGCCCACAGCCCAGTGGGTGGTCCCATCAGAGACCTCGGCCCGCCTCCAGAGCGGACCCCTGAGCTATCCCACCAGCCTCCCCAGAAACTGACCAGCCAAGTCTTGCCCGCCCCCCCCCTCCCCGTTCCCCATGTCTCCTCACGGCACCCCGCCCCTGTCCCACCCCTCATGCTGGCTGCCCTGCAGGAATAGCAACAGCCACTTCCGGGAGGTCCTGGAGAAGCTGGAGAGCGACGCCGTGTGCCAGCGCCTGTCCCTCAAGTCCTTCCTCATCCTGCCCTTCCAGCGCATCACCCGCCTCAAGCTGCTGCTGCAGGTGCCGCTGCCGCCCCCAGAGCCCTGTGAACCCCCCACCCTCAGAACCATGCCCCTGTGCTCTCCAGAGCCCCTGTGAGCCCCATGCCCACAGACCCATGCCACCTGTGCTCCCCGGAGCCCCCTGTGAGCCCCACACCCACAGACCTACATTCCCCTATGGTCCTCAGAACCCCACCAATGAACCCCAACCCCCACAGATGCCCAC